AAGCGAAGACGCGCCAATCGTGTTTGGCTGTGCGCGGAGTCATCGTTGCCATGTACAAACATTTTTGTGGAAATATTGTAGAACCTGTTAACTTGTGCTGTTTTACCCGATTGTCATGGAATTTGGCACACAGGGCCGATATAACATGTCCTGATGACAATCATAAATATAAATATAATTTAAATACAAATATTAAATTTTTATTTTTATTTTTAAATTTAAATTTATTTTTAAATTTTAAAATTTTAAATTTAAATATAAATTTAAATAAATTTAAATACAAATATAAATTTCATGACAATCGGGTAAAAGTGCAGAAGTTACAGGTTATAGAATATTTCGACAAAAATGTTGTTACCATGGCAACGATGACTCCGCCCACACCAAAAACAATAGGTGTCTTCGCTTTACGATAACGCCACCTTCATTCGAAATTTGAAGATGATCGAGAAGAACTGCAGCCGCGTAGAGCGTTCACAAGGAAATCTCTACCGGCGCGGCGGCGCGACGATGCCAAACCCATAGTATCCCCACGAACTTCGTTCGGGGGATACAATACATTATGGCAGAGAGAGATATATAACGATTGAGAGATGGAAAGAGAAAGTGGGAGAGCCCCCTCTCTCTCGCTGTACGTCTCTCTCTACCATAATTCTTGCTCTCACACTCTTGCCTACGATCTCTCATTCTCAATCTATTCGCATTCTCTATATCTTTATCTCTTTCCTCTGCCTGTCCCCCCATCTCTCTCCTCTCTCCTCCTCTCTCGCACTTCTCTGCCTCTTCTCTTTTCAATCTCTCTCTCGCTTTATATATATATAAACACAATCCAGCAATAACAGCATTCTCAGGCGGTTAATAACTAGAAACGAGCAGTTGTCGCCAACTACATGTATCCCCCGTGATCTAGTATGAATGGAATATCTCTGTAAGGACGTAGAAGGAAGTAAAGTTAAATAAGTCACAAAGACAAAGGTTTGTTAGACAACTGGTCTGCCTCAGATGTGCAAGTATATGGAATACACACAAGGGGGGGGGGGGTTATGGGTGCAGTGCTGCGTTATGGTAAAGCAAAGACGCCAATCGTTTTGGTGTGGGCGGAGTCATCGTTGCCATGGTAAGAACATTTTGTGTGGAAAATTGTAGAACCTGTAACTTGTACTGTTTTTACCCGATTGTCATGGAATTTGGCACACAGGGCCGATATAACATGTCCTATAATATATAATAAATGTGATATACATATATTTCATGACAATCATAAATTTAAATAGAAATTTAAAATAGAAATTTTAATACAAATATTAAATTTAAATTTTATTTTTAAATTTTTAAATTTAAATTTAAATAGAAATTTAAATAGAAATTTTAATACAAATGTAAATTTCATGACAATCGGGTAAAAACTGCAGAAGTTACAGGTTCTAGAATGTTTCGGGAAAAAATTTTGTTACCATGGCAACGATGATTCCGCCCCACACCAAAAACGATTGGCGTAACACACACACACACACACACACACACACACACACGCACACACACACACACACACACACACACACACACACACACACACACACACATACGCATGCAGTGCTCGCATGAAAGCTCCGCAGGTAATTACTCAAGAACACTCTGAGCTAGGAGAAGACATACGCGCTTGTGTGGCTGCACGCGTGCGTGCATACGCGCATGCGTGCGTGCTTGCTCGTATATGGTATGCACATGCAGACGTATATCCACGTGCGCCCCCACGATAGAAATGTATAGCTAGTCGAAGCCTATAAGTCTAGCCTCAAATCGTATATTATTTCTCTGTATACCGCAGTGGGTGGGGTTGGAGGGCTAGCACGGCGGTTGCTATTAAGTTTAATACCATATCAAATTTTGCAGTCTGTATACGGGGTATAAGTTGCAACAGTTAATAATAATGTGTCTATCGTCCGTCTGCGCATGTAACACGCGCGTCTGTGTACAGCACCTTAGCGGAAATATCCTCGCTATTTTGTCGGCAGCGCGTCTTTGAAGATTGCCACATGCGGGGAGATGTGGGCGGAACAAAATGTCACGCACATGCTTAAGCCGTCTTACGATAACATTATGATGAAAAGAGCGCATAGCTCTCTATCAATATGATGGCCAGAAATCTCACAGGGTGGCCTGAGTTCTGCGTCTGCCTCGCGCGTGCGTGTGTTTACCAACATGGCGCAAACTTAATGCGATGAGATAGAGACGATGATTTATTCGGTGTCGATGCCATTCCCGCTCGCAGTCGAGCTGTCGCCAGTCCGGCCTCCGACTCGTGCTACCTGAGAGAGTAGGAGGTAGACGCGAGAGAGTCTAGCCATCGAGTTCTGTCTAGACAAACCGCGTAACGTGGTTTTCTTCGCTGCGAGGCAGTAGCAGTGAGATTACGGAAGGTGGCGTGGGTCTGCCTGCCTGCCGCTGCCGCCGATGCGGCGATGGGTGGCGCCAGTGGGTCGCAGAGATGGCCAGCTGTCACTGTCGGCGCCACGGCGGGCGCTGGCGACGAACTTTTCGCGAGCAAAACTGGTCAAGCCGTACCTCGGCGATGTGTATTAGGAGTGGCGTTTGTAGGTGGGTGCTGTTGGCCTTTTAGAAAAGTCGGTATGCGCTGGCTAGATGCGACGCGACGGTCTGTAGGTTTAAGGAAATTATCCGTTCAAGTGCCAGTGAGCTAACGTGCGAATGTACAATGTATAGGGAGTGAGAAGGAGGAGAAAAGAGAAAGAAAGAGAGAGGAGGAGAGAGAGCGCGTGCACGCGAAAGCGAGAACGAGAAGGGTGTGTGTATCGAAGGATGACAGTGCGAATTATAATGCTAATGGTGGGAACGGCCCAGATATCTGCTGTATATTCATCATCGATGGGAACTATGAGGTTAGTTCACGTCGTAACAAGTTAGTCAGACAATTACAATCAACTTGAGCATCTCGTTCCTCGTTAAAATAAACGTTTAGAAAAAACTATACTGTGCGTGATTTTGTTTGCATTTTATTCACAGCTACCTTCTTTACCCCTGACTAATTATATACGCTCTTTGGGAGAAATTAAAACGTGATCTTCCGTGGTGATTTATATAGCGAAAATATGTTTAGCAAACCAAAAACGTTACTAGAACTTATTAGAAGTTATCAGCCGTTATCGTAACAACATCAACAAACAAATATCGGCCGTAACTTTTGTGAGTGTGTTCAGGTTCATTGCGTGAAATGCTATTTGTCATCTATGTTGTCATATACATTCCTACTTGTCATGTTCTATTTTCTCGCTACTCTGCTTCCCAGGTACGGTGGCTACATGCGAAAACGAGGGCGAAGTGGTAGAAGTACCTCTAACTTGGACGGACCCTTGCAAATACACCTGTCGTTGCAAAGTAAGTACTAACGTCGTAAAGAGACGAGCGCCGATCGTCTGCTCAGTTCTGTGACTGCCCTAATTCAGTAAGTTCATGCGCAATTCGGCATTTTGCGTGATTATCCGAAAGCCGTACGGAAGTACGCTTAACGGGATTCGAACCAGGAATCTTCGAGTACTATCTTCACTACAAGAAGTACAATGGCGATGTGGTTTGCTCCTCGATTGCTTATTGTTCAAATTTATCGCATCCTGCTTACATTGGATACCATTCCATTAGTATTCAATAATTGTGAGGTAAACATTCAAAACTGTACCCTCGGCGGGAGTCGAACCCGCAGCCTCCGAATATCATCTCTACCATTAGAAGTCCGACGCATTATCAATTGCGCCTCGAGTGCCTAATAATAGTTATTTAATTCCCTTGTGTGGTATTCCTTCTGAATAAGAAGCAGTTATTCAAAACGTACCCTCGGTGGTGCTCGAACCCGCAGCCTCCGAATACCATTGTCGCCATTAGTAGTCTGACGACAAATCCATTAAGAAACAAGGGGCTATTGTAAGGTATTTATTGTCCTTGGATCGACTGTCTCCTGAGTTGAGGTAGCCATTCAAAAACAGTACCCTCGGCGGGACTCGAACCCGCAGCCTCCGAATATCATCTCTACCATTAGAAGTCCGACGCGCTATCCATTGCGCCACGAGGGCTTACTGTGCCTTGCTCTTGCATGGTACGACTTCTTCTGATACCACGTAGGGGAACATGGGGCAAAACGGGGACGCTCATTTTAGAGGGTTATTACACGAAGAGGTGAGTTCTTACAAACTTTATTATAAATATAAACTAATAATAACCTTTTACAAATTAAAATTTTTTGGGATTTCTTCCAACTTGTTACTTAACAATTGAACAATAAACAAAATTACGGGATGTCCCCATTTTGCCCCATACTCGGGGCAAAATGCGGTTATATGATAAAACATGGGAAAATGTTGTAGAAGTTAGATATATAGTGAGTTCTCAGCTCAGAGGTCTGCAGCTTTATATTACATCACTCTTTGCAAATGTCACACACATAGTTGACTTCATAATCCTCAACCCCTGCACAGGAGCAATGTGCCCATCTCTGACATTCTTCACATGCTATCCATCCTTCAGTGGAATGTGAATACAAATCACCACAGTAGAGACATTCTGTGTCATCTTCATCGTCTTTGTAGGATTTTTTCACAGCTTTATCCGATGTTTTTGGTTTAGCCTCTTTCCTGACATGTTTCTTCTTCGGAGCATTCTTCCTCTCTAAGCTCAGACTCCTTTTTGTTTTCTTTGTCAGCTGTTGTTGGTAAAGCTCTTGTTTGTATGGCGACTCTGTGAGAACAACAGTTTTTCCACGTCTAACGTTACTCACTCTAGGTTTCTTGGCAGTCACCTTTGGTACTGGAACAATTGCCTCCACAGATGTGTTAAATTCAGATTTATGCTTGTTTGTCTGACTGCTGCTGAGTTGGGTGTTAGGTAAAATTACCGAGATATCTGCCCCTGCTTGAAATTGAAGGGCATTCTGGTGCTCTGGTTGTATGACAGGAATCTCGATATCTGTTGTTTCAGCTGCCAAAAAATCCACCTCTTTGAAGACATTACGTTCAGCTGGCCAGATTCCAGTTTTGCGAAACCCATTGATGGCAGTGTCCATAGATGCTGCTTGTATAAAAGCTTTACCAAACAAGCCTGCAACCAAGTATTGTGTAACAATACGCCCTGGATGTGTGCGAAGCCAAGATTTCATCTCATCACTGTAGTATGTGCTGAGAGGTTTTATGAAACCTACGTCTAGTGGCTGCATACGATGTGTGCAGTGTGGTGGAAAGCACAGCAAAATTACACCATTCTTACGAGCAAGGTCAATTAGGTCCATGTTTTGGTGTGTGTGTGTGTGTGTGTGTGTGTGTGTGTGTGTGTGTGTGTGTGTGTGTGTGTGTGTGTGTGTGTGTGGCATGTCCATCCAGAAGTAACAACACTGGTGACTCTTTGCTTGCACGGGAAAATGCAATGAATCGCTTGAACCATGCCATGAAGATATCTGACTGCATCCCCCCACTCGGATGACATTTGGCCCATGTACCTGGTGGAGCCCCATCTAACAGCTCTGGCTTCATACGCTTCCGAGGGAAGATTAGCATCGGTGGCATATATGAACCATCTGCACAAAAACAAATCTCTATTGTAACCAGTTGGCCCCTCTCTGCAGACGTAAGCGTTCCCACTTGGCGGCGTCCTTTCAATGCAATGAGTTTCTGGTGACTTTTCGACACAGTTGTTACCCCTGTTTCGTCACAGTTAAAAATCTGATTTGGTGTCAAAGTAGTTGACGGACTGGCCTCTGGGTTGGCTGCGGCTTGGGCTTGTCACAGTGCAGCACATCTACGTTGTATGGGGTGACCGATAGACTTTGTGCATCACCTATGATTAGAGGTAGTGCTATCAGCTCTCCGGGAACATCAGCTTTCTGGTACACTGCAGTAACCGTTCCATGAGTGGTTCCTCTACCATCAGCAGTGTCCTTAGCAAAATCTGTGTTGTCTGAAGCAAAGAAGATGCCCTTCTGAAGGCGCCCTTCTCAGGAATGGTGGCACATACAGGCCTTGGAAATGTCTGGTGTTTTCTACGACGGCATTGGTAAGAGCAGTCTCCATGATCAGGGTACGGCCATACGAGACGCAGTGGCCCTGTGCATTGAGAAGATATATCAGCATTTTTTGCTTCGTGTGTCATGGTGTACAGTCAGAGCCAGTCCACAGGCCTTGGGGGTTTTCTCTTGCATGTTGGGGTCTGAATGTTGCTGTGTCGCTACTTGGCTTATACTTCATCTGTCTGTTGGACTTGAATCCGAACATGATGTTTTGACTCACGGTGGTTCTCGTTTTGTTGTCCATATCCTGCACAGGCCCCACCATGATCCAGCGAATCATAGTGTATAGTTCAGCTGGAACATCATCGATGTTGCTAGATACTGGTATGGCAGTTTCTGGCTTGTCTTTCTTTGTAAAGTTTGCAATGCTCTTGCGTATCACCTGTGCAGACTTGTAGATGGCCTTTATGTCATTCACATCGTCAGCATCACTTGTGATAGCAGAATAGACCATGGCTTCGTCACATGCATCTAGAGAGTAGAGGACAGCCGATTTCCTTCTATCTGTTTGTCAAACAGACTTCACGCTTGGCAACTCAGTAAGTATCTTTTCCTTTAACCATGCTCTTTTGAGTGCAGGTGAATGATTTTCCAAGCCTTTTAGACCAAGCATATTGACGTATGTGGTTTCAATGTCAACCATTGAGAGGTAAGCTTGTTTTTGAGTTTGCACACTGATAAGGTTGGTCAGTTCAATCAGACTTGCCCTTTGCAGTTGAATGCTCTTTGTGTGTGCTTCTTGTTCTGGTTTCGCGTGTCTTCTCCAACATGACTTGTGGTACCTAACGTCTATCGCGTGGGCATCAGTTGGTGAGATAGATATGTTCAACCTCGTTTTCAATGAGGCATCTTCAGACTTTTCTACAGCTTTTCTCAGCTCTGCACCAGCATTTTCAGTCTTGACTTGGAACAACTGTTGGCCATCGTCCTTCTGACAGAAGAAGCACTTTTTCTTATCCTACGGCACTGTAGATGACCGTGTGAATGGCGCTGATAAACCAGAAGTTGATGGGCCTGGTTCATCAATTTTGGTGCTGTCTCTTTTCTGTCCACGTTTTCTGACAGCGCAGCTTCCATTAGATAGTGCATAGTCTTTGCGGTCTCTGGCACGTTTTAACAGTTGCTTGTTAGTTGCATTGGAGTAACAAGTGCGATGCCAAACAGCCTTCTCTGTGCACAAGGTTTCTTTTGTGCTGTCTTTGAGTCGTCTATGGACTTGGACGAAGTTGCCATTATGTAAACTGGCACATCAATGTACAGCAATGGGAAGCACCACTTAAACAAAAATAGGGGAAAAATAAACATTTCCAGAAAAAAAATGGTAAAAAAAATAGGCAGCCATTTTGAAAATCAAAGATGGCCGTTTTGTGGTTATGTTTAGCTGGCTTCCTCACCCTTGAAAATGTATGTTTAGCCGTTAAAATCATGACTCTAGGCCACATGGATGCTGAGATATTGAGAAACACCCATTTTGAAGGCGGCCATTTTGAAAATCTAAGATGGCCGCCATGCATGCTTTCGGCAAATTGTAAACATTGGTTTTCTGATTGCCTATACTATACAGATTCCCAAAATGTATAGGTTTGCAAATCCCCCCAAAAAGTGAACGAAATTTAATATCTGGACATAGTGAACTTGACTATCCGTTTGTATTTATTAACACGTCACTCTAGCAAGTCAAAAAACTTAGAGACTGTAACTTTGTTGAAGCCCATCACTTGGGCAGCTGAAGTCGATTCTGGTTTACGCAGTGATAAGTCTGCATGTCTCTTCATGAAGCCTTCTAGCCAATCTACCCTAGCCATCTCATATTTTCTGTTAAATGGATGTGGTATCTTGTTTCGTTCAGCTGGTTGAAATGCCAGCATTCGTAATTCGTTGGTGCTAAATCCAAATAGTTTTGCCTCCATCAGCTCATCCTCTTGTTCTGTGGTGAAGATTGGTTTGTATTTACCCAGACATTGTTGGATAGATGTGGCTACATCTGGGTCTTCACGGAATTTCATAACCCGTCTTTCAAGTGTAGTCTGTGGCACATTGTACTGGGCTGAGGCTTTCCTGTATCTCATTACACTATATACCACATCTTCAATTGCCGGTCCCATAGATTCCTCCGACTAACTTTGTCGGTCAGTCTTACGTTTGTACTTTCGAACCATGCTATTTAAAAGAAAAGAAAGTCCAAATTAGGAAATGCCAACATATATCTTATTTACTTTCCAACAGGATGATAATGGGGCAAAATGGGGACACCCACCCCATTTTGCCCTAAGCATTCCAGTCAGAAAAATGGCTGACAAATTTCGCAAGGCTTATTCAATGTCAAAAGTTAATTACCTTTAATCATGCCAAGTCTACCTAGTTCAAAACCAGAAACTATTTATTTGGATGCCATTGTGCTTGGACAAATAGCAGCACATCATGGACGACCCTTATATTTTAAGAAAATGTTGAAAAATCGATAATTTCGACCCATATTTACCTAAAATGTCTTCTTCTTCACAACACATGCTACACGAGGTCTCTCTGACGTAATGAACAGTTCAGAGTATGTATAAAAGATAGCAGAATTAAAAATATAGCAAAACCTCGTTTTGCCCCATGTTCCCCTACAGACTACGAATTTGATATGGTACTAAACTAGCGCGCGTTAGACGCGCGTCCAACGCGCGCTAAATATTGCAGTGTACACGCTATCCCGCTCCAAATACCCTCACGAAGCAGGGCTAACTTAGTGCGCACCAAGTTATCCCGCTCTAAGCTGTGTCTGTACGCAATCCGGTGCCTAGCGCACGCTAAGTTTCGCAATGCGCATGCGCATAGCCTTATTTAGGTCACGTAATTGTACGCTCGCTGTACCTCGCTGTCTGCGGGGTGACGTGGCGAGCAAGGAACTGAGCGGCAGGAGAACTGATGACTCATTTAAAGTAGGGTCAAATATGCAGTCTGTACGCTCCTAGTTAGCGCGCGTATACGGTATGACTTGAGGCGGCCATTCAAAAAACGTACCCTCGGCGGGACTCGAACCCGCAGCCTCCGAATATCATCTTCACCATTAGAAGTCCGACGCGCTATCCATTGCGCCACGAGGGCCTACGGTGAGAACTGATTATACTTGCATAGTATTCCTAATCTAAAAATAAATCTTATCGACGGCAGTACCGATTATTTGACATTTTACTCTCTCTCTCTCTCTCTCTCACTCTCACTCTCTCGCTCTTTTTCTGTCTCTCTTTCACTCTCTTAGTATATATTATATATCTCACTATCTTTTTCTCTCTCTCTCTCTCTCTCTCACTCACTCACACACTCTCTCTCTCTCTCGTGATCACGTGCGCGCTGTGAGACGGCGGACGTCGTAACTACGGTGTGAAAACAAACCGCACGTCGTTCAAAGGGTCTTCCATTAGAGGAAAGGGGAACAGGTTACCGAGAAGAAAACATCGCGATACGTATATCGTTGCAAACTTGCACATCTTATGTACAACAATCGGGAGATTTTTGGCGCGTCTGTAATATAGCTTTCAATTTCGTTATTTGTTGCTAATTGTAGATTATACGCTACCGGTTGAATCGTATACAAGCAATTGCGTTTTCATTCCGTAGGCTGATATATGGCTGTTTTTTTTTTACGTAGGTGGAACTGTTCGCGGTCGATTATTACCAAATCATTGTGCCTTGAATGCTGCTAACATTTTAGCTAACAATTTAAGTATGAATTCATGGCGTAAATTTGCTGATGCAATCCCAGTGAAACAACAGCGAAACGCGCTGTACTACCTTTTCTATTGGACCCCGGCGAGCTATTGATCACATAACGTGGGAAAGCTTATAATTATGTACACAATTTCGACTTTATTGAGTCGATACCTTTGGGGTATTTAAAGAGAGTCCGCTAAATGTCATGCTATCAGCAGGACCTCTGCATGCGTTTCCAAATACACAAAAACTGTAGGTATATCGAGCAATTCCCTAGCTACGCGTAACCAACCCACTGGTCGCGAGATGAATTACAACACATTACAGCCGTATACTCACTAAAGTTAAGTTAACTACTAAGTAAAGTGTGGTTAGTAAACTAAGTTAGTAGTCGTAGTCGTAGATTGCGACGTGAATAATTTCTCTGTGAGTTTATCTGTGATACAGTGGAAGCAAAGTCTCTATACGCGACCTAGCAAAGTGGTAAACCTATAGTATGTTCGAATCCCGAGGGCTCGAGTCCCGCCGAGTGCACGGTTTTGAATATGCACCATAATTCAGTAGGAATACTAATCAAATATAATCAGTTCTCACCGTAGGCCCTCGTGGCGCAATGGATAGCGCGTCGGACTTCTAATGGTGAAGATGATATTCGGAAGCTGCGGTTTCGAGTCCCGCCGAGGGTACGGTTTTGAATGTTTTGACCTCAAAATTAATCTAATAAAATTTGAAGAATTGACATTGCTAATCAATTGTTAACCATGAATAGAGATCTTTATAAATCAGTCCTGCAAAGCAATGCCTTCTAAACTGCGCAATGGATAATGATCTACACAAGAACCGCTATGCAGGTTGTCTATATTCCTCTCCCCTTAGCGCGTCGAACCCACATAACATACTGCCATAACTACATACATACTGCCGTGGGTATCTGAGAGGTCGGGTCACAAATATGATATATCTGTATTACTATGACAACGTATAGGCATTAAGTTTTCATTGAGTTTGATCTTCGTGTCTTTCACAGAGCGGTCAGGTTGTGTGTGAGAAGCAGGCCTGTCCGAGTATGGAGGGATGTCATGCCGTTATCTACGGACTCGACGATAGATGCTGCGAAGAGTGTAAAGGTTCGTGTCCTTACTTGCTCCACCGGTGTGTGTGTGCAAGTGCTCGTGCTCGTGCACCTGTGTGTGCGTGCTCGCGCACCTCCGTATGCGTATGCGCGTGCGTGTACGTGTGCGTGTGCGTGAATGTGTACGTATGCGCGCGCGTGTGTGTGTACATGTGCTTGTGCGTACGCGCGTGCGTGTGCGCGTGCCTGTATTGGTGCGTCGCCATATCATTTTTTGGAAAATCGTACATTGTATAACAATGTAGCGGTGCAAAGAGCCACAGAGGTAGAGGTACCTCACACATTGCGGAGCAAATAGCTACACTGGTAGGGCTAGACTCTGGCGTTGTTCAATATGATCAGCTAAACTCACTTCATCAGCGAGGAGAACGCTTTAGAAGGTGGAATCTTGCTGGCCGCAGATATCGGGCGATGTTGGGATGTCTACGTGGAAAAAATATAGGGTGAATGGTCAGCCTCTTTTATTATTATAATATAGAAAAAAGGGTTATAGAGTTTATATTCTATATCTATGGATTTATCCAGCCTAGCTCAACTCACTAATTCAGTGAAAGTTTGCTAATTGCGTTATCGGTGTGTTGTGTGCACGATAGTAACGGTAGTAGATGCAGTAACGATATAGAAGTTTCTATGATTACAATAAGTTAATAAATATTAGATAGTTATAGCGAAAAGTAAACTCAATACATGCTATATTCTCCAGGTCACCTGGATAGAACGGTCACTTGTCTACGAAGGACACATTCCATTTTGGCATTTCCCTTGAGTGGGAGTTATACAGTAAAACAACCTCTATAGAACGGACACCTGACTATAAAGGTCACCGATGGGGTTTCCCTCGAGTGACCCTTACGTACACGGTTGAGTGTATAACTCACTGGAGTTCGCGTTGGAATATATAACCGCGATTTTAACCGGAATACAACATCACGCGTTGGGTACAGTGCGGGTATATAAGCGTAGTGGTTAGTTGACCGGGGGAGAGAGACAGACGCACGTAATGCCGCGCGAGCTGCGGGCGTTCACTAATCCGGCCCGCGAACCGCGAATTTACGCGAGAGAGTAAGCATTCCCCGCGCGGCAGCAGCAGCAACACGGGGTTGTTCTAAGAGGAGCTTAGTTTCATGATATCCTGCTGGCAAACTCGGCGACCGATGTCAAGGATGAGCTGGAGAGCTCTCTACGGCTTTGCTGCCTATGGTTACAATCCAAATAGCCTCCCCCGCATGTCTACAGTCCGGCCATTAGTAACCGCTGCGCCCCGAAGCAGTTTGCATTAGACATGCACGCGAGCGCGTAGTTATTGTAGGTATGTGTGTGTATGCCACGCGTGAAGCGAATATGCAGGTGGGGCAGACGTGTAGCCAATCCGGCGATGGGGCGAATTATGAGCGAAAAAATAGTTCACAGTCGTTTATTAATGGGATCGGGTAGGCCACATTTATTGCTTGTTATATATTCGTACGTAAGTGTGAAATTCCGTTTTCTGATTAGTTATAGGTGCTACCACATGGTTACATGCAAGAAAACTTTTCAACTTCAACCATAAACTCTTTTTAAACCGCAAAAATACATAAAAGTTGCAACATAACAACGCCCAATGATTTTGCTAGTCGACGCGAAACTTGAGCGCGCCTGAAAACAATCATATAGCGACGAAGAACAACATGGACGGGTGCGGGGGTTATACGTCACACGTATATGAGCATACGATAGCGCTCATATTTATTATTAAATCTTGATCTTATCGAGGTGCTCAGTATGCTGCTGTGCAAACCGACGGCAGCACGCTGACCCCACGGACGAATATCGCGCTACCACGCGTATGAAAATAAATGTTTCGACTCCCACACCGTATCCAGTAATGTCTATCGAGGTACGCGAGCCCGGCCAGAGTTATGACTTTTCTCAGGGAGTCAAAATAACTGGGATCTTAACACTGTGGACTTTGAACCCGTCGCATAGCTAGGGTGACCACGTAAAATAGGAATGTCTCCACAAATGGTGACGGAAAACGCCCTGGCAGCGATCACTCCCAATGTAATCAATACAAAGAGTATTGATAATGTATTGAAAATGAATTGAGTATTGAAAATGTATTGAGTATTGAAAATGTAATAATACAAAGAAGTCGACTTGGTATTATGGCTACGGTATGGCTATGGCTATGGTATGGCTATGGTTATGGCTATGGCTATGGTATGGCTATGGCTATGGCTATGACTATGGCCATGGCTATGGTATGGCTATGGTTATGGCTATGGCTATGGTTATGGCTATGACTATGGCTATGACTATGGCTATGGCTATGGCTATGGCTATGGCTATGGCTATAACTATGGCTATGGCTATGGCTATGACTATGGCTATGACTATGGCTATGGCTATGGCTATGGCTATGGCTATGGCTATAACTATGGCTATGGCTATGGCTATGACTATGG